TGAGGGGAGGAGAGGGAAGAGGGGGAAAGGGCGGCTCTAAGAAATCAATACCGGTAGGACGAGGAGGGGGAGCTGGAGGTAGGAAGTAGGTTAGGGGGCCCCGGCGCGTCCGTCGTACTCTGTATACAATGGTGTTGTACAAATTCCGGTTCCCCGTCCGGGGTAATGGACGTCGGTGCGAAACCCTGTGATCCACTCCGACACGGCCCCGCCTCGCAAAGAGCGGCCCCCTTACAACCCCCCGGCCACATAATCCCCAAGGGGGTTGGCCCCTCCTTCAGGTGTGTTCCCCTGCAATCGCGAGTGCGAGTGACAGTGAGAGTGAGAGTGCGCGTGAGAGTGAGAGTGCAAGCGCGAGTGCAAACGCGAGTGCGAGTGCGAGTGCGGGTACGAGTGCGAGTACGAATGCAATCGCGAGTGCGAGTGCGAGTGCATGCGCGAGTGCGGTGCGAATACGAGTGCAATCGCGAGTGCGACTGGGAGTGCGAGTGCAAGCGCGAGTGCGGGTGGGAGTGCGAGTACGAATGCAATCGCGAGTGCGAGTGCGAGTGCATGCGCGAATGCGAGTGCGAGTGCGAGTACGAGTACGAGTGCAAGCGCGAGTGCATGCGCGAATGCGGTGCGAGTACGAATGCAAGCGCGAGTGCGAGTGCAAGTGCATGCACGAGTGCGGTGCGAGTGCGAGTGCAAGCGCGAGTGCGAGTGCGGGTGCGAGTGCGAACAACCGTACAAACCCTCATCTATCCGCTTCCAAAGCGGCCACTGTTCTGTCTGTCTGTCTACCTATCTGTCTGTCCAGTTCAAGGGCTGTCCCTTCACTGCGACAGCAACCCCGGCACGACACCACCCGGCGCGTGTGTAGCAACGACAGCGCTGTGTGTGTGCGTGTGTTTTAAATCCTCGGGAAGGAGGGTGGGTGGGGAATTTCTGCATCGCCTGACGTGATGTGTGTGTGGGGGGGAGGGGATGATTCCGCCCAGACGTACGCTCGCTGACCTGCACTAACCGCCTCAACCGTTCCGTCGAGGTCCTTCCCCCGCGACCTTTGGACTTCTTCCCCGAGTCTAACTTCTCCCTCCTGCCGTATCCCGTACTTGCCGAGGACTCCACACATTAATCCCACCCCTTACCCCCCAAAACACACACACACATCCGCACCCGGGAACACACTTCCCCCCCTTATCTGACTTTGCGGGGTCCAGATTGAAATACACGCACACACGCACACACACGTTCCTTCCCTCACTCGCTTCCCCCCTCCTCCTCCCTTTCTCCCTTCACCTATCTATCTCTCTCTCACACACACACACCCCTTCTCAACAAACAGATGTAACACCCAACATAACCCAGGGTCATGCGCTCTTGCAGACATACATACATGCATACATGCAAACGGACAAGGAAAACAAATTAAACATTACATACTATACACATGAATATTGAAATATTAAACTACACACACATATATATAAATTTACATATTTAATATTTTCATATTATCTGCGCCTACTTGGTAAACATCCGAGGCGTAACCTCGATGCAGTTGTTTCAGCAGCTGATAGTCCTCCAGCGTCCAGCGCGGGCGCCGCATGCGGCTAGGAAGGGCCGAGGACACCGCCAGAATGGAATTGCTGGTGCCGTCAGCGGAAATAATGTCCTCCAGGGAGCCCTGCACGGACGCCGAGGCAGCGCCGCCGCCCCCGCCGCCGCCGCTGCCGTCGGCGCCGCCGCTGGGTCCCTCTCCAGGCGCCAAGCCGCAAGCCGCCTCACTTGCCTCCTGTACGGATACGTCCTGGTTGAAGCGGTACTGGTCCTGATGTAGGAGGTATTTAAGGGACTCGGAGCGCTTTGGCGACCGGCGGGGCTTGCGTTCGGGCTCCTGGTGACCCGCGTACTCGGGCGCCGGGGCATCCGCCGCGACTCTAGGAGGCGGTGCGCGCGACAAGCCGCCGTCGAGGAGCATGGGTAGGGAGGCGACGCGGTTGGGTTTGCGGCGGAGAGGTAGGGGGGCTTCGGCGAGGGCGCCGCCGCTGCCAACCGCGGCGGTGGAAGGTGCGCCGGCGGCGGCTGCGGCGGTGTAGGCAAGGCCGCTGCCGGAAGCGGGGGGATGGGAGTGGGGGTGGGCCGAGTTGGAGGTGATGGCCGCGGCGTTTGGGGCGACGACGGCGGGCGCCGCGGTGCGGGGCATTGAGCCCGAGGGTGGGGTGGCAGGGTCAGCGTCGGGTTCATCCAGCTCGTCGTCAGAGTCAGGTTTCATAGTCTTGACGCCCTGTAGTACAAGACGGCTGCCCTGTCCGGTAATAATGGTGGTTTCGAAGCGGCTAGCTCCAACGGCCTTGGTGGTGACCGAGTCGATGCGTGGGACAGCCGCGCGAAGCGAGTCCACGCGGCGAAGGCTCTGCGCTCCAGATTGCATGGAAGCGCCGTTAGCGCCTGACGGCGTGGCTGGCCGCACATTGTCATTCTCAATGGTTGCGGTTACGGTGCGCGGCACCGTCGCAGATGCTGGCCGGACATGGGTTAAGCAGCTGGTATCGTCATCGTTTTCCCTGCGATTCAGGCTGTTAGTCTTAAGTATTTGTTTGAACTTCTGTAAAATGCCCATTCTGGGTGCTGGAACGTCAGGTGAGCTGGATGACCGCACACAACACAGAAGTGTCAGCTTGCTACTGTACAGTGTGCCGATAAGCCAGTCGCTAAAAGGTCCTACGCCTCAGTAAAGCAATAAGGCGCAGGTTTGCAGCTGCTATCTAGGTACCCTAAAAAATGAGGTACGCATCTTTCTTAGCTTTCCCAAAACAACCTCTAGGCTAAACCGCATTGGCGGTTATTTGGTGCGCTGCTCCACTTGTACACCTTCGGCATGTTCACGCTACAAGATGCATCGAGAGAGTGGCAAATGGGCGTCCTTCCCGTACAAAGAAATGAAACCGTTTCGAGCTTCTTCACAAAATGATTGAGTGCAATACTAGGGGTAGAGGCGCGTCGATAGCTCTTTACATGCTGGCGTAACTTCTGGCGTCAGGCCTTCGACAGGTTCCGGGTCGGCTGGGTCTCTTGGGCCAGGGTGCTAGCGGTGCAATAATCGAGAAAGCATAATAATAAACTTCCACCTACCACATTAACCCGGTGTACTTTGCCGCCTTCAGGTTGAAAAACGTCTGTTTTACTACCTTGAGGCTGTGGATACTTGCTCGCCATACCTTACACCTTATAACGCACAGTTGAAGTCCTAGCGAAACACTCAATAATCCGTCGTAATTATTGCGATTTTTTCCTCCCAATTTACAGCGAACCCCTTTGGGGACTTTTGTGATAACGTCCGTCCGCAACACCCATCCCGCATCGGGTGAAGCAGTGAAGCTCATTATCCTTCATCTATACATGCTTGTCGCTGCGCTTGATGTCAACTTGCATTGCCAGTCCGCCCAGCTACGTACCAATGCCACTCCAAGCCATAATTCAGCACGTCGGAAATTTACGTCTTCTTGAAAGCGCGTCTCCCATGCACAGTGAAGTGGAATATACTGCGATAAGATAACTCAAGTGATATCGTATCAGGCGCTTATCCTCAACAGCCTCTTTTGTCTTTCCCTCCCCCCCCCCCAAACCCCACCCCCTGAGAGCGTCCGCACGAAATGGATGAGGATTCAGGGTGATGAGGATAATAGGCCAGCTTTATGAGCTGCGCTGACTGCGAGCTCATCCTACAACACCCCGGCAGCACCGTGTAGATGCTGTAACTGAGTGAGCGGCCCCACCCTGATACGGCAGAGCGACAACGACACCACAGAACCTAGCGCTGGTCCCGGAGCCCTACGCTTATTTCTTTGCGTGCGGGAATGAGAGGCTTTTGTTGTACGAAAAACACAAGAAACCTTTAAGTTCGACCTTTCCACGCAGATATGGAGGTTGAAATTTTGCCGTGTATCCAAAAACCGCCTGAAAAACCAAAGTATCTTTTTTACTTTTTGGTCCTAGTTCCAGAGCAAAAAATACAAGCCTTATGTGCCACAAGTCCCCCGACCTGTACCGTTGCGTCCGCCCCGAGTACGTGTATCGTTTTGAGAGCAGCACCCGCCAGGAAGTGGGGGCTCATGGCGGGCGGAGCCCCTCGGGATGGGTTCGACCCGCCTGCCAGGGTCTCTGACTGCCCGCCGGCGCTTCTACTCGCCTGTATAGGCCGGCAAAATTGCTATACTGAAGTAAAGAATAACTTGGAACGCTTATTACTGTCCTCTGTTGGACGATTGACAACATTTCCTGAAAGCCTGCAATGCTTTCGGTCGAGGTTTATGCGTTTTGGCACGCCGATTGCCATGAGGGGCATATATCTGTGCTAACCTGGGCAGGAAACCCGGCAAGAACACGTAAGCTCAGAGCGTGCGAGCCAATTACTTGTACGATTGGCATGTGTGTAAGCTTACAGATGCCGGATTTAAGCCTTGGACTTGTGTGTGCAGGGCGTACCCAGGGCGGACTGACATGCGTTGGCTGGGTTTTGCATGTGTGCTGAGCTTGGGCTGAATTCAAACGCAGTAGGGGTGTAAGCCTTTTGGCTCCGGTTTAGGTGTTTTGGCCTAACAGGTGCAGGTGCAGGCAAGGAATATTACGTTCGAGCCTAATTAGAACCTCGCCACATAGTGATGGGTGGTGAGCTGTCATATCGGCCGCTCACCGACGGAAGTACGGCAAAGCGCATCAGGTTAAGCGAAGGCCTTATGGCGATTATCGAATTACACCGACGAACAATAGCGAAAAAGCGAATGGGAGTGTAATGTAACGACTCATGCTCGTTACAAGGAGCGTTTTCGCGTGTGTGTTGGGCCTTGAGCCTTGGGCGGGCAGTTACGTGGTGAGATCTCTGGTGCCATTTGGTGGAAGTGATAAACAAATTAATTGCACTAGTGACAAGAAATTAACTGGACAGGTGCGCAGTTATGCGAACTTCGCATCCGACGCATGGCATAAAGCGCGTTCACAAGCGAACGTTGGGAAAGATAGCCGACAAGCTCCCAGCAGGTATACCATTGGCCTGCCGTAAGGACCTGACGGGTATCGTTGAAGGCAGGACACTCCCTAAACACGTGATGCTCGTCCTCAACCAACCGCAGCTAAGCGACACAGTTGGCAAACCCGATGTGCCCTCACCCTACCGTTGGACGGATGACCTCAATAGCCCAACAGCACAAACAGAGACCAATCAAGTTCCTGTGATGCCTGGAAGGGATGTTATGGGACATAAACCCCCAAGTGTTGCGGATCCCCGACCTATCCAGTGCCCATAACGACATATTTCCAACCCCGGCTGTCAAGGTGTAGGAAACAAACTCCCGCCGCGGGTCCACACGGAGCCGATCATTCGCCCAATGTTAATGACCCTTCAGCCCCTCAAGCAGCGCAGAGACATCCAGCTTGCGAGACGAGAGTGCAGAACTTTTGCTTTCGACGTCTGCAGTGCCGGTCAACACTATAACCCAAGGTTCATAACCCAAGACCCAGAGGACACGGAGAACCTTGGCGTCCCAGGAGCCCTGCAGCCCAACCCCCGACAACGCAAGATGTAACTACCTGAACACACCGTGGTACATGGCCCTTCTGAATCAACCAATGTATTCCAAAAGCGGAAGACTGGCCTAGCCCAGAAAGCATGAAGATCGCTCTCGGTACCTGCTGAACTATCTTGGCGAGGTTCTTCAGGACCTCTGGGGACGTGTGGGGTATCTCGCTTTATACCACTCATGCCTTACAAAAACGTACGTGGTAAGACATTAAACTCGCAGCTATGCGGAGCTCTACGTCCGCTCCTTTACGACAAACATGAATTATCGAGACCTGCAAGCTGGAGACTGCCTTTCATTTCGGCGTATATACCGGAACAAGGATGCTCTCCAATGGATTCCAATAAAAACGAGCAGCAGAAACAACAGAAGGCGAACCAGGAGCAGCTGCAGACGCTCAGATACTTCCCCACGGGGCAAAGGGAGCAGATGCAACTGGCCCTCGAGCAGAACGGACCGCTAACGCAGCGGCTGCAGGGTGCCAATGACACTGTAACGCGTTTTGAGGAGGAACTGCAATGCGTGACCGAACAGATGAAAGCAGATGACATTCAAGTAAAATGAGAAAACTATAACACCCCGAATATAATTGCCTCTTACGTCGTTGTATCCCAACGTACGGCAACTGAAAACGTTCTGTTAAGCGCTGGACAGCTGACGTCTTTACAAAGGGCCGTGCATGTGCTTCAGCAGTTCACATGAAGCCCCGACACCTACTTATCAGAAAGGTAGCCCGAAGTTGTTCTTTGTTTTGTATTGTGCTGCCTTTGACAGCCGAGCAGTTGAAGCTTGTAATAGGTTGCCGCCTTGCGGCGTTGCCCCCGACAATTACGCAAATGTCTGACAAATGCATCATGGGCTTTTAGGAAAGCCACTTTTTTTACTAAACCACACTGTAATTGTGCACTGTGATTTATCCGAGTTCCAGAAACCACAAGGCCATATCGTTAAAGCAGTCATACGCGCACTTTACGGATGGAAAAGCCTACCGCGTTCCTTGGCAGTTCACGGCATTGCACGACCGACGACGTCACAGCACATTTTACTGCCTTTATCCTCACCATGCGCGGCGACATGGAATTTCAATTTGCACAAAGTCTTATTTACTTCCTCGTGCCCCATCACCCTTGCGCACCTTGTTTTCTATGTCCCGTGCACAGACAATCACTCCCGGGCCCCCCTCCCCCCAAATAAATGAACAGGATCCACCATGGCCGCCACGTTCCCGCACGGCGGTGTCATCGCTGCGGCCGCTGCGCCGAGGGTAGCGCTGCCATTAGCCCCCCCGGCCAGCCGCCGCAGCCGTGCCCATATGACGATCATCGCTACCGCCGCTTGTCCTTCTTCTGCCGCCGCCACCGCCGCCAGCGCAGCCCGGAACAACCGCGAAGCCGCCGCTGTCGCAGAGGAGGTACGGCAGGACGCCCTGCTACGCCGCTGGATCCAGGATCACGGCGGCTTCGTACACGAGTCCCTCTCCTTAACGAGTGCCACGCAATGCGGCGCAAGAGGCCTCGTGGCAAACAAGGGTATGTACGTATGTATGCATGTATATTACTTGTTTATCTTTGGTTTCAGGATTGTTCCTGTCGGTTATATATTACGAAAACGCCTTTACACTGCTAAGGGCTGCAGCAGGGCGCTTAGTGGCGCCATTGGCCGCTCTGCCAGCCAGACCGCCAGCTGGGGTTCCGGTCGTCCCTCTCCGCCCCTCTCCGCTTCCCCGACCCCTGCCCGGGGGGACCCGGGGGCGCCCGGGGGGACCCCTCTTCAGACGGTCCAGTAGGGGGCTGCACTGTGTGTGTGTGTGTCTACGCGTGTGGCGGGGTTGAGAGGGGGTTGGCTCGGGGGTCCCTACCGGTCATTCTGGCAGCGAATAACCCCAACAGCGGTCCCCCACACGTCCCCCCCCCCCACACACACACATGCCGTCTCCATCCCCGCGACCCCCCGACCTGAACGACCAACAGCACCCACCCTTGGGGGGTCCTTCTCGCCTTCCCCCTACCTACCCTTCCCTCTCCCCCCTCCCTCCCTACCCCTCCCTACCCCTCCCTCGTCCGTGGTTTGTCTTTCCCTCCCCCTCCCCCGCCTCACCGCATTGTCATCTCAGACTCCCCCTCAACCCCCACTGCCCTTCCCATCCCCCCGCCACACGCGTACACACATACACAACACCTGTATGCACATATACACACATACATACATACCCCCAGCCATCAGCCTCCCCCAGCTAGAAGCCAGCTCCCTGGTGGTGGTGCCCCGCGCCCTGCACCTGGACAACGTGGCGGCGGTGGCGGCCGTGGGCCCGCTGTTGAGCTCGGGCGCCCGGCGGGAGGCGTTCAGGGAACACCTGGGGCAGGTGCAACAGGCGAGTGGGGGGGGCCGAGTAGGTTTTGTGTATCTTTCTGGGAGGGGGAAGGAGGGGGGGAGGAGGAGGGCATACACACACACACGTCTAGCCGTCCACACACACACACCCATCCAGTGGGCCAGCTAGCCCCGCCGCAAGGCCACCGCCATCATGGTGATGTGCGAGGGAAGCTGGGCCAGATCTGGAATGTAATGTAATAGGCAGTCCTGGACGGCACCTGTGATTCTCCTCCGCCGCCTCAACGCCCGCCCACCAGCACTGCTGTTGGTATCGCTACTGCAACTCTTTTCCAACCTCCCGGCTCGTTTTCCTTCTCCCCACTGCACCCTCCCGCTCCGAAACCCCGCCGGGTGTCTCAGGTGGCTTGCTGCCTAGCGATAGAGCGGGCCAAGGGCGCCGAATCCTTCTGGCTGCCGTACGTTCGTACACTGCCAGACATGCCCCCTAATCCCTGGCTACTGACGGGTACGGACCTAGCCGAGGTGCTGGCGGAGCAAATGATGGAGGCAGCGGCGGCGGAAGCGGCGGCGGCGGTGCAGAGAGAGCAGTCGGCGGCGGCGGCAGCAGAGGCAGCGGCGGCGGAGGCCGCAGAGCCGGTTGTGGCGGCGGAGATGGCGGCAGCGGCGGCGGAAGCAGCGGCAGTGGGCTGGTCGGGGGGGGCTGGGGGCTGTCGCACCGGCTGGGCGGCTGCTGTGGAGGCAGCTCGGCGGCGGTACGGCGGAATGGCCGAGGAGACGCTGGAGGTGGTTGGCTCTGACCGGGCGCAACTGAAGCTAGACCACGAGGGCCTTATGTGGGCCATTGGGCAGGTAGGTGGCGATGGCGGCGATGGGAGGGTGGTTGGGTGGTTGGGGGTATCTGTAATCTCCCTCCCTTCCTCCCCTCCCCTCCTCTCCCACCACACCGTGCCACTCATCTCTTCTCAACTCACCCGGCCCCCACCCCCAAACAACCCAACTCACCCCCAAGCGCTCCGTCTGTCCGGTGTTTTCTTTTCGACAATTGTCTCTTCTTCGTCACCTCAACCCCCCAACCCCACACCCCACACCCCTAGGTGGTGTCGCGCTCATTGGGGTCGGGCCGCGCGTCCGGCCTGCTGCCCCTCATCGACATGGCCAACCACTGCTCGGCAGCCCGACCGCCCCTCATGATGCTGGACGAGCAAGACAGATTGGTGTTCACACTGACCAGCATCAGGAACGGGGAGCTGGCACCCCTGGAGACTGGACAGGTGCATGTGTGGGGGATGTATACGACAACAACAACAACAATAGCAATAAATGATAATAATGATAATGATGGTAATAATGATAAATATTATATATTTCCATATGTTGATGGAGCGCGTGATGTGATGTGCATCTGGTGTTCCCCAGTGTGTTTTTAAAACTTTTTCACCGTGGTAATTTTTTAGTGACCAAGTGGTTACTGTGGGGGGTTTCCTTGGTAACTACCTTACTTAAAAAATTCCCCAGCGAGTATGCTGAACTGGAGGCCACTAGAACCATACATTCGAAGATCCAACTTTGACCCTATGTACGGCAACGTGTTCCCGAGGCGAGCTCAGTGAAGCATCACTGCTCCCATCCAAGCGTCAAAACATTTCTTAGGCGTTCACTACTACCGGGGGTCCCATACGGGGGCAACATAAAATGCAATGGGGTGGCGGTGGGGGATGGGAGGCTCCCCCGGCTGTTGAAGGCCGTCCAGGGAGGAGAGGAAAGCAGTGAGAGGCACCAAACGGGATTGATTGGTTAACTAAGAAGGGTTTAAATGTTTGGGGGCCATTGTGGAGATGAGTAGGCAGCATTGGATGGCCGTGGGTGCGAGGGTTGCAGGCTAGCTGCAGCACTATCACGTGATCATGGCCCTCCCCCTGCATCCCCCCCACCCCCCGGATGAACCCCCTCTCCCCCGCTCCCCCTCTCCCCCGATACCGGCAACTCAATTCCCGCTTTCCCGCATACGTTCCCCCTCCCCCCCATTCAGGAGTTGTTCATCAGCTACCAAGCGGAGGACATGAGCCCCCTTCAGGCCTGGCTGAAGTGGGGCTTCGTGCCGCATACGTTGGGGGGAAGTGGGGAGGGAGGGAGTGGGGGTGGGGGTGGGGGAGGAGGGGGGTTGCGCGCGCGTGCCTTGGCTTCTCTGTGAGCGGCACGGGGTTGTTAAGGGGGGGATTTGAGGGGAAGAGAGCCGGAAGGATGACGGAGCGGCCGTTTCTATGTGCAGGAGTGGGAATGTTTTCGCGGTTGCTATGGCGGCTGGGATGGTTTAGCGAAATAGGTATCCGAGCCTGGAGCTGCACTGCTATTGCTGCTACTGATGCCATTGCTGCTCTAGACGATTGTGCTGGCTTGTGCTGTAAGTTGAGTGGTACTTTTCGCCAGCTGGTCAGCCAGGCTGATTGCGGGCATGTGGAAAAGGGTCAATACTCAACACTGAGGAAGGGTCCCAACTGGAGCTTTCCGTTTCGTATTGTACGACAGTGTTAGGGAGAAATTGATGCCTGTGTACGAGCATGCTATGTGTGGACGATAGCTAAGTAGGCTTATGTCGTTTTGGAAACACCCACAAGCCAAACCACCCGGCCAGTAAGCCGCCCACAAACCGTGTTGGCCATAGGGAGTTAGAACATGGCGCATAACACAGATGCATATGTATGATGTGTGAAACAGGGGGGTGTATCTTCGCCCGTGGCAGCTACCCTGCGAAACCCTGCCTTCCCCGGTATTTCGGGGCATCCTCATCCAGTCACCCTAGTCAACTTCTCAGTGGATCGTTCAGGTTCCGCACCCACCACCAGCATCCAACGGAATCTGCCGGGTCGACAGCGGCCCAACTCCATTCCTGATCAGCTCGCAGGTTAACTTTATCCCAGGTCACCACCGTCCATCAACTAGGGGCGCAATGCCTTCCACCATCGGAAGGACTTTTGACCCTAATGGGTATCGATCCCGGGATGTCCCGGGGGCAATGGTCGCGCCTGACCAGTGGTGCCAAACCCTTATATGTATGTATGTACGCACAGCACACGGTCTCTTCAAAGTCCTTACAGTCTGATGTTACCACCCAGTCAGCATCCATGCATTCTAGCCCCCTCAAGCAGCAGCCATCAGCATATCAGAGCACACACACGTCTAAGTTACCATAGTCGTATATGGCATGGAGACACGCTCATATGGTATGCTCCAGCACACAAACTGACTTACACTACCTATACACAAGTAGTGCTACCTTACGAAAAAATCCCAAACGGTTTCTGTCATCATACTGTACACACCGTACAACCCGTACGACAACTGACAAATCGGCATTGCATGTTGATAAAGTGCTCATCCTGTGGTACTGTACGACAAGTGCAGTGCAGGAAGGTGCAGCCCAGGGCTGGGCAGAGGACAGAGATGGCTATGATTGATTGTTACAAAGATTGGCTAACTAGGATAAGGCGCTAACATCAGACAACACAAGTGCACTTGACAATAGTGCACGCATTTAAACACATTAGACAATCTCTGTATTACCTTTATACTTTTGTATACAGGTAAGTGCAAGTTGGAACCCCGCCCGCCCGCCTGTTGATGTGGTGAAGAGGGGGGGAGAGATGAACCAGGAGCCACATGAGAGGGGGCAGAGGCTAGGATTTGAGACCAGAGGTGTGAGTGGGCCGAGAGGCGTTGATGTAGCACTCCAGGACTTGGGGGCTCCGGATCTGTGAGAAGGCATGGAGCTCCCCGAGGGAGGCGCCAGCAGCCTGGGTGGCCTGGATAGTGCCACGGTGAAACTCATGAGGGGTTTGCCCAACTTAGATCTGGGCCTCCTCCAGGTGCTTGCCCACTCACATTGCCAAGGTGCTGCTGGTAAACAGGCTCTCCATGAAGCCTCGGTGCCCCCGGTCTGTTGGACTGAAAAGGTAGTCAGTGATGGCGGGACTAAGACATCCAAGGGGTGCTGTGCTCCCCATCTTGAGCTGTACCCCAACCCCTCTCCCCGGCATTGCCATGCCCCGGACAAACCCCCAGGATCTGCCATCACTGACTACCTTTCCTGTCGAACGGACCGGGGGCACCAATGCTTCACGGCGCGCCCGTTTACCAGCAGCGCCTTTCCCATGTGAGTGGGCAAGCACCTGGAGGAGGCCCAGACCTAAGTCATGAAACCCCCATTGAGTTTCACCGTGGCACTATCCAGGCCACCCGGGCCGCTGGCGCCTCCCTCGAGGAGCTCCATGCCTTCTCCCAGATCCGCAGCCCTCAAATCCTGGAGCGCTATATCGACGCCTCTCGGCCCACTCGCGCCCCTCACAGCTCCGGTCTCAAATCTTAGCCTCTGCCTCCTTCTCTCGTGTGGCCCCTCCTGGCCCTAGTGGCCCTTCGCAATTCGTCTTTCCCCCATCTCTCCACCACATCGACGGGCGGATGGGCGGGGTTCCACTAGCACTTGCTTCCCCTGTTGTCGGGTGCACTTGCGTTGTGTGATGTTAGCGTAACAGGACCGACACTCGACGGCTTCACATAACGCAACAGCCAATGACTGGAGCTCTTGCATGCAAATGACTTACTTTACTGTCAAAAGCATGAGTGATGGAGCAAAGTTAGCCAATGAAGCAGCAGTCGATACAGATTGCGTTGCTCGACGTACGGCGTTGCGCGTTGATCATTCGCCAACAAGGGACAAAAGCCAAGTTTGAGATTTGGCGAAAGATGTGAACGTCTTGAGTTGTCGGCGAGAGCCTTATGCTGATGAACGTTTCTTTGTTGTCAGTTGTACGACGATAGACTTCATCTTGCTGTCGCATAAATCGCGCCCTCATTCACATAAGGCCCCGACCACCGGCAACCGTTTTTATACCAAACTTCGCCAAAACAGGCTTTCTTGTCCTCATCTTTATGACAAGCCCGCGTCTCCGCCGACCAGGCAGAGTAAAAATATTTGAACCGTTTACGCGTCCTTAAGGCTATGGCCCATAGCCTTCCCAGGGAAGGCACATGACATGCTCCAGTGACCAAATTCGCAGGCTGGCAAACGAAAGGAAATACTTTTCAAAACCCAAAGTTGTACGCATCAGCATCCCCAATTCCTTCTCATATCGCAAGAGCGTTCTGAAAAGTGTAAGCAGCCTGTTGCTAGAAGTCCTTGGCAGTCCGCCCTCTATCGTTGATAAGTGGTGCTGCATCATCCCCTTCCGGCAACCTGCAGTTCGGAGACTAAGCAATACTTCGCAACTGCAGTCAACTGCCACGAGAACCCACTGGCATTGCACACTTGTGCACAACAGTTGCTGCAGGACCGCACCCAAGGCCATGCCTCGTGCCTCGCATCCGTCCTGAAACTCCCAAATCGTCAGGTCGTCAGGCCGAAGCTGCCACATCTCCGAACCCCACCTCACCTACTCAAGTCATCTCGCAGCGGTCGCCTTCCCCCCAATCGGCGGGAAGGCTGCTGGTCCCGGGCTACTCCCCGAGTCACCACAGGTACCTCCTCCCTGGGGTCGCGTCCAACAACCACCCAGGGGGAGGAAAGAGGCAGCAATTCCTAGGTTCCTAACTACCAGTACCAGTACCAGTGGCAACCTTTCCTTCGAGTCGCCCCCAACCCTCAGGTACACCACCACCGACACCACCGGGTAAGCAGCCCGCTACCCACTACCCGCGGCGCCACCTCGCGTTGGCCCAACCCCCAACCTAGCCCACCAGTTTATTGCGGGGCCCGCCGGGGGAGGGAGGAGAGGGCCCCGCCTGCTGCTTCCTTTCACAGGTGGCCAACTCCGGTCCATGAACCACCCGTGGGTGCGACACTGCACCCCGGTAGCAGCTCTCGTGTCGCGTAGGGTTTCACGTGCCGTCCACTGGACGGACTGAAAAAAGCCCAATAAACCCTAAGTCCTAACGACCACCTGAATGGGGGATAGCTGTGCCAGCTTTGAGCTTAACATGACCACAACCGCACCGGTCATGCGGCAACATCACAGGCATCGTCACAAGCACTACCATTTCCCCGCGGCGGGGCCAAACAACAACACCGGCAAACACCCGAACAACAACGACAACAACAAGAACAACGCCGTAAACGCCCGACCATGGGAAACTGCCACAAACACGAAATGGCGAGCTGAGCCGCATAAGTCCGCACATCATGTCCACACAACCAGATCCCACAAACACAAAACACAGGCTTATATGCAGACGCGGCTCGGTTTCTTCAGAGCACACGCATGCACGTGAGGCAACGCGTATGGAATACGACACGTTCCTTGCGGCAGTTTGTCAGTTGGGACTTGCGCTACCCAAGAGGCCGATATGGTGGTACAACACCGGGCGGCGGCCGGCCTGTGTCCCGACTGCCGCCAGGGGGGTCAGGGGCGGGGCGGCCACCGAGCTGCGGTCAAGTAAACATGTCCTGGCACTTCTGGCATACACAACATGCCTCCAAACCCGCTATCATGTCATGTCGGTCATGTTCGCCGCGTGTTGTAGGAGCCGCACTCCTTGCACTTGTGACCCAGCACGTGGAAGTTGACGGAGGACCTGGCGGTGCAGTCGTTGCACAGAATGCCCACCTTGAGGTTGGCGTACTCGGGAGGCATGGGGGTGGCCTGCGGGCCGGACAGAGGGCAGCCAGCAAGAGGGGAGCACACCAGGCGCTGAGGAAAAAAGGTGCTGGAGGGAAAATACACATACGCAAAGAGCAAGGAGTGTAGATCGGGCGGAAAGAGAGAGAGAGGGGTGGTATGGGGTTGTGATATGGCTCGGGCTCGTCGCCAGAAATTGAGCAGAATCGCCGGGCGGGCAATAGAGCTGAGCCCCAGATCCGACATCCGTGCGGAAGAACCCGCTTCACTACCACCGCCCAACTCCCAGTAAGCAGTCTCCCACCCCACAGATACGGAGCGTACACCGTCATCACATGGGGAGGAACGGAGGGGGGAAGTTGGAGGGGGGCCCCTCTCGCCCGCGCACCCGCCTATGCCTGTCCTCCCCCTGCCTACTGAACCCCCGGCCGCCACCTTTCATCATCCCACCATCCTCCACACCCAGATCGTGTCTCCCGGTGGCAGCCTTCGACTCAGCTCTACCGTCCAACCGTCCAAGTCCCCTCCAAAACCGCCACAAGCATCCCGCTACCCCCCTCGAGCCCGCCAATCCCTTCATCCGTCCCCACCTGCACCGCTTCATCCAGCCCCAGCCACACTCGCTCCATGGCCGCAGCTGTCAGAATGGACTTCATGCACACTGGGCAGGTGTACGTGGAGTGCTCGGCCAGAGAGCGGAGGCACTCCTGCGGGCGGCGGTCAGCGGGTAAGGGGGCCCGAGGGTTGAGCGGCGGAGGGACGGGGCCGCCGGGGGGGGCACTTGCGGTAATGTGGCGCACGTGAGGTCAGCACAGCCGGAAGCCACCAGTGTATTTTTTTCCGTAATATATTACGGTTCCGTAATAAAATGGCATATTTGCGTTCTGCGCTCCGTCATAGACCATGGTAAAGGCCTGGTACGGTCGTTACGGAGCCGGGGCGGGCCGAAGGCCCCCAGAGACGTTCTATTTTAGTAAAAATAAGTTATAAATGAGCGATGGGGCCCAAGAAATTAACTACTATAGCTGGTCAGGGTAGCGTCAAAGCATTCCTGACCACCGGCAGGCCAAAACCCAGTAGCGGCGATGCTGGTAACACTTCAAACAATATAGCGAGTACAAGAGAGACATTAGAACCAGATGACAGGGCGCCTCCCGCACGGCGCCACGCTTCAGCCAGTCAATCCCGGTTCTCAGCAATGTCTTTCGTCAAGAATAAGCACCGCAACCAGCTTGATAAGCATTGCCCCCCCAGAAAGAAAATTCTGGCAGTAATAAACGTATTGGACTGATGGCATATTTATTACGGAACTCGTAACAGATTCAGGATCGGCCTCCACGAAAAGAAAACACTGGAAGCCACCACTCGGAAGGTGCGGTCATGGCCAGAATGCGGTGGCCCGATGGTTGAGAGGGGTACGTGGAGGTGTATGCTAATCAGCTGAGCTGCAATGGGCTGTGTGTGTGTGTGCCCTCCCACGTCCCTTCCCCCCTCGTCACTCAAACCCTCTCTCCCCCCTCCCCCTCCCCCAAAGTCACCTGGTGGATGGTGTGGCCGCATTGCATGATAATGATGGGCTTGATGGAGTCGAAGAGGAACTCGCAGCAGACCGGACAGTTGGCGTGCATGGAGTTCTGCACGGGGCGCGGGGAAGGCCAACGGGTCGGTCGGAGCGCATGAGGGTGCGGCTAGCCAGATGTGGAGCCCGCGGATCGAGAGGACTGGGGCACGTCCTACATCTGCTTTGCCCGCCTGGCCATGTCCGCCTGGCACTGCCAAGTGACATTTCGCTTTGCGTGGCAAATGCCATCAAGTCGTGCATGGCTCATGTGTGGCGAATGAGCTAGGGATGGTGTAATCATGGCAACTCGGTAAGGAAAGCGGTGCGCCTGTTTACACGCGGCCACATGCCGGGCTGCTGCTGCTGCCGCTGCCCCACCTGCGCTCCCCCTCTCTTGTCCACTGGACTGCAGCTACCAGCAATCAGATAGTACGACCCTTTTCGACCTGAGCGCGCGTGTGTACGGAGAGAGATTCCCAAACGTCCACGAAGCCACAAAGACGGAAGGCCCCCCCCGTCCCCTCCCCCTGGGGAGGGAGGACATAAAACACACCACGAACACCGCCGTGGTCACCACCACCATGCCAGACACATGACCCTGAACCACATGACTCGGACCCAGAGGCAAAGCTAAGTTAAGCTGCTCAGCAGCGTCCACCCCTCGGGGCCCCCCACCGCGTCCCCATTACCACCGCCCATCCGCCGTCGCACCACCACGGCACGCCTCGAACCCCTCCTCCCGCGCTACCCCCCGGGCCCCACCTCGATGCACACGTGCTGGTCCCGCAGCGACAGAGAGTAGCAGCAGTTGCACGTGCGGCAGTGGAAGAAGTTCTGCCGACCGCCCACTCGGCAGATGCCGCAGTCCCTGGGGAAGGCCCGGAAGGGTGACAAGCGAAGACGCTGTTTCTGGACGAGGTGGTCAAGGCGAGGTGGGGGCCGGGAGGAGAGACCGGCGAGACCCCGGGCACATCCCGTAAGCATCTGCTGGTGGGGAGGGAGGATGCTTTGTGGGCCGACCCAACAGCCCCCTCCCCTCCCCTCATACCCCCTACCCGGAGTCCAAGGACCCGACACACGCAGGCAAGCGCGCACTGGTGTGCCCGGGCGCCAACCTGCCGCTCAACCTGCCGCCCTATTCCGGCCCTCATTGAGTTCGGCGCGCGAAGCACCTGTCCGATCCAAGCACCGAGTGGGTTCCACCTCCGGGTTGCTTCCCCCACACACACGGAGGGCAAAACACACAGGGGGCAGAAGTCGGGGGTCAACCTTCCCTCCCCCGCTCTATCTTCGGCTGGAGGCCTCACTGGCAGTGGAAGCACTCCTTGGAGAGGTCGTCGTCGAAGAAGGAGCACAGCAGGCAGGTGTAGCGCCCGAACGCCACGCCGCAGCCTGTGCATGTGGATGCCTTGTCCTGGCGCAGGCCGCACAACCCGCACACCACCTCCCGCACCGCCTGCGGGGAAGGGGGTGAGCGGGGGTGTTGGCCAGGGTGAGAAAAGACGAACCACGAGCGAGTGAAAGTGATGCCAAGGAAAGGCTGCTGCGGCAGATGTAACGGAAGCATAAGTAACCAGTCGGCGGTTGGTTAGGGGGGAGGGTCGGGGTTTTGGGGGTTGGAGAGTGTCAGGATGAGGTCACGCATGCAGTCGGTCCGAGAGTGCCCACGAGAGAGAAATATGCGTCTGCAAGGTGGGGGGTGAGGGAAGCGGCCGCAAGGGTGTCTCGTGCGGATGTGGATGAGGTATTCCGATGTTCATATCGTGCAGCACCCTCAGCGACACCGTCATCGTCACAATGAAGGAATGTTGTCTTGGCTGGCATGGACGAGCAGGCAAGCAAGCTGTTGTGACTGTGGAAATGTATTATGTTTGTTGGTGTGTAGATTACGAGGATGCGTGTATGCATGCGTGTAGGACGCACAGCGCGACAACGGGTTTCTGGCTCCTGGATGATGTGCCTGTGCAGCAGCTTCCAGAGAGACCGCCTGGAAATTAATTGCAGTTATGCCTAGACATGTGCAAGTGCACATGCGCATATGCTGGTAGGAGGTGACACGTGTGACCTAAGGGGGTGCGCGCTGCACCAGGCATGGCGGGATATGGCGAGGCAGAGAGCACATCTCCAGGGTCGTGTGTATGTTGGTTGTGCCCCGGCGTTCTCCCCCCCCCCTCACCCCCCACGGGACCGGATGGACGTGCCAAACGGGAATATCCTTGTTCGACGAGGAGTGACAGCCTTTTGCAGGCTGCGGCCCCAATTGGCCCCTCCAGGAGCACTTCAGCAGCAAGGGCTATTGGGCGGCTCTGGCCAGTCTACGCTTAAAAGTGCAAAACCACTCGCCTTGCGGTCAAGCACGTGTCGCTTTTTCGGGTCAACCTCGTTATCGTTGCAAGCGGCGTTGTGACAGTGCCGGCACCAAAAGGGCTTGTCACAGCACGGTGCAACTATCATGGCACGCCGTCGGTAATGCTCGCATCCATACTCCTTCACCCCGCGGTTCGCTGGGTCGTTGCGGTCCATGCTTTCTTCCTCCTCCTCCACTTCCGCCTCCTCGCCCTCTTCAAACTCCCCAATGTCGCTATTGTTTGCTATGTCGTCTTCTGCTTCCTCGTCATCCACGTCATCCACCTCTTGCTGTAACAACTCCTGTTCTATGCCGTCGTGCTGCTCAAGGGCTTCTTGTGCTTGTTGTTGTGGTTGTTGTTGCTGTTCGGGTTGTCCGCTCGCCTCCATTGGCAAGGATGTGCAACTAACTTCCTGCCTTCGTTCGGCCTGGAAGGCTTGACGAAAGTAGAAAACCGGAGTACAACAAAGCAGTTTTATGCAGGGCTTTACGAAAGAAAAGAAATATGTATTGATAGCTGTGGAATTCGAGGTATCGGGAGCATGAAGAATACACGAGAGCTCGGGAGGTCAGAGTCGCAAGAGTGTCGTGCACCGTCCCAACCGTGCGTTGCGGATTGGCAATCACCTGGGTTATGCTGAGGAACATGGTTTACCAGCATATAAATTTATAACAACTTAAACGAGACATTTGGCATTTGGCCTTTTCAGTCACCGATCTGCCATGGATGAGCTGTCCTTGTCACAACCCCAGGTCCAGGTGGCCTTGGCGGTGGTTATTGGGACGATCCTTCTACTAATCTTGAAATTATTTTCAGGAAGAAAGCGGGGCAGTGCTGTGCTGCTTGTCGGGCCGTGCAACGGTGGCAAGACGACGCTGTTCTATTGTTTGAAGGATGGAGCAACGCATGGCGCAACCGTGGCATCGATGCAGGAGAATGAGGGCTGGTGCCAGGTCCGCAACGACAAAGACAGGATAGTCGGCAGTGTACGGGTCCTGGACCTGCCGGGACACCCACGCCTCCGCTCGAAGCTGGAACAATTCCTGAAGGACGCATCGGCAGTTGTCCTCGTGATTGACTCAGCTGACATAACCCCCAATAAAACCGAGGCGGCAGAGGACCTATTCGAGGTGCTTACACACCCCGCCGTTGCGCGGCGGCGCCTGCCGGTCCTACTTGCTTGCAACAAAGCGGATCTGGAGACCCAGGCCCATTCAGTTGACTTCTGCCGGCGCACTATTGAGAAGCAGCTGGATGCCATGCGGAAAACTCGCCTCGCACTTGGCGGTGACCCGGGGCGCGCGATTTCCGCGCTGGGCAAGCCGGACAAGCCGCTGTCGCTCGCTGCACTGCGCAGCCCCATCACATCGGCGAGCATCAGCGCGGAAAAGGGCGATGTGTCGGAAGTCATGCGCTTCCTCGCGAAGCTTTTGTGAGGCAAGGCTACCGTGGGAACCACTTATTGCCATCTAGGCTGTGCGCGGCCATGTGCAGGGCCAGCTACCCGGTGTGCAAGTGGATATGAATGTCTGTTATATTGGAGCTTGCTCGTAGCTCGTCGCCCTGTGTGGAATGGACCTCCTGTTTGCCCATGCGCTCCTTTTCCTCCTCCACGGCGCCGGCAGACCTTTTCGCACTGACAGAGCAGGGCCGATGTGTGTGGCAACCGCGTTGGCTGTCCGATGGTGTCGTTCGCATGCACATGCGGCAGCCCGATTCCGGACATGACCTCCTGAGGGGATTACCCGGCTAATGCATCATTATGGAGCGCGCACAGGCTGTAAAACTAGTGTTGGGGCGAAGGGTGAGTTACGGTCGTGGCTGGACTGGCTTGGCTGTAAAGTGCTTGGGAAATGCTCTCGGTGCAGCGGTACGGCCACCAAGGCAGCCGGAGGTGCGGAGGTTTCTTTTGGGTGCCCAGGATGGAGAGTATCGGGTGAAGTTGTGGCGGCCACCGCTCGGCCTTCCTTGCCACGCTTCCCTGTACGGAGCACTGGTGCCACTGCCTTGGGACGTCTAGTACCCCTGCCAAGTCAACATGTCAGGTCTGAGGACATGTGTTGGTGGAGCACTTGTCGGGGTAGCTTCATGGCTCGAAAGGAACCAGCGCTGTTAAAGCCGCCATCGATGAGGGGGCGAATGAGTTAGCCATATGGCTGTAAGGCAAATCGTTAACCAATGCGAGGAAGGGATATCCCGGATCTACGCTGATGCAGGATTGGCGCTGGCCGGCAGCTCTCTGTGTCCTCGATTCTATGCTTGACTACCGTTTAATTCTGCGTACGACTATTCCGTACTGACATGTGTGTGCGTGTGCGAGACTCCTTTACTTTATGGTGTACAATCTTGTAACAGTAAACCCTGACTGCTACACCGACTGCTACATGTACAATGTTACACGAATTATATGCAAACCTTGCGACGTGATACTTCAAAGCTGCCGTGGCGCACACGGCCCTTCATGCGCCATGCTGAAAGCCATGTCTTAACGCTGCAGCGCGTGTGGCTAGAATGCCACAGCCGTTTCACAAAAACACGAAAGGAATAACCTTCCAGTCCATTTATTATCGAAAACCGGTACGACCTAAACGCATGTACATGATGCATCAGGCAAGAAGTCACTAGGCATTAGGAAAAAGAAGATGATTGCATCTCCAGCTAGGACCGCTCACACCATTCGGATCTCAGCTCTGCATGCAGGGAACGGTAGGGCTGCAAATGCCGATTCCCATCGCGTTGATGCTCCTCTACACACCCGTGTGCCCGCATGGCTGCACTAACGCAGAGACTCATCCTATGCCGGTCCTCCTGCTGCATCCCCCTTAGGATGCTCTACACGTTACTACAGCACGGCGAAAGAGTGTCATACTTTGACAATTCATGACAATGCAGCCGCGCACGAGGATATCGGGGGGGGAGGAAGAGGTGACGAAGGGTGCATACAATTAACCGCAATCGCCACACGCGCCCCAACTTTTACTGTACAAGGCGAGGCAAGCAGCCGAAGTACAAATGGGGCCTGTCAACTGTCAGCTCTGAAGCCTTGGTTTGCAATAATGCAGGGGCTTACCGGCGCAGCGCGCGCGGCAAGACTGTCTTCGTGCATTACCGGCTGTTAATGCATCAAGGTTCTGCACCGGTCTTCCTTGTGGGACTGCGGTACACTAACATAATCGGATTTGTTAACGAAGTCGAATGAAGCCATTGTAAAATACATGTTCGACGTGGGTTGCCGTGGCGCTGCTTCTCCAATCACTACGGTCGTCCATATATGGGCCCATAGGGCCCTCTGTCGAGCCCTAATAACTTTCTTTCCCCCATGCTCCTGCCGCTGCAAATGCCGCCATCGCTCAGCTAGTATCGCTGTCAGTGCCGCCATTGCTGCTGTCGCTACTGCTGCTACTGCTACTGCTGCTACTGCTACTGCTGCTCCCACTGCTGATCGTCTGGTTCGCGGCACCCCAATCCTCGTCCTCGCCGCCGTCCTCTCCACCGCTCATGTCTGACCCCGGCCCGGGATCAGATGAGCCGTCATGGTCTGAGGGGCTGCCATCGCGACCGGAGGAGCTGTCGGAATCCGAATCTGATCCGGGCTGGGATTCTTCAGCGCTCTCGTCTAAGTCTGGATCATCAAACGCATCCAGTGGATCTTCATCCTCATCCTCGAGATCCAGGTCATCGTCATCTGCCATGCCGCTGCCGCTGGTGACGGACGCGTCCTCCTCATCCGCGTCAGAATCCAAATCACTGCAGGTGCCATTGACACCAAGGCGAACAGAAACGTATGCCCAGTCCGGAGGACTAGGAGCACTTGAGCAGGAGATGCATGGTTGTGTAATGGGCCCTCCTAGCCGTTTGGCGACCGAGAACCCCGCCCTTGATCCCTGGCAGGTAAGTCCAGGGACGGGACACCAGATCTAACAACATACCTGTGCACAAGTACCTCCCACAAGGACAAGTGGTCGCTGTCAGGTGCACCGTACACTTGCCGCACAAGATCCCGTGCCTGTTTCAAAGTTATAGTACGTCAGTCATGGAGGGTCAGGGCGGGGAGAACGGGGTTAGGGCGTAGGACGGCAGCAGTACCCGTGTGTAATTCTTACACAGCGAACAGTACAAAGGCAATATGCACAGCGCAGACGAGGATAAAGTCTGGTGGTGACGCGCATTCCCGCGCATATGGAATGGCGATGACTTCGGAGGCAGCAAAAACGACCCTTCCGCCAGAAAGTAGCCGAAACCTTAGTTGAGATTTCTAAACTTCTCAACTAAACCTAATTAGTTTCTAAGGAAGTTTAGTTGAGATAAAATTTCCATCTAAGGAAATTAACAACCCTACTTGTAAGCCCTGTGTCATCACCCGCCCACCACCACCAGCAAGACAACCGGCACCCACCTTCTTGCGAACCTCCTTGTGAAAGCCCTCGCGAATGATGAGCCGCGGTGCAGCTACCTCGCAGTCCAGCACCCGCACAAGTTGCCGCCTGTTTGCAAACGCAGCAGACACCTCCGCCCACTGCACTGCCGCCAGCTCAGCCACCCGATGGGGACTGCTAAGACCGCCACCCGAAATGCCGCGGCTCCCGCCAGCTGCCCCCGTCGCTTGTGCTGCCGCCAGAGCCTGAGGATGCAGCGGCGGGACGCTGTCCTGCACAACGTAGGTCGCCGTGACGGCACGGGTACCGGCTGCGGCGGTGCTGCTGCCGGCCTGCGTGTGGTCGCCGGCGGCGGCGGCGGCGGCGCCGCGGCGGCCACGGCCCCGGTTGCTAGCTGGGAAAGCTGCGGCCGCCGCAGCTGCTGTGATCTCCACCGCAGCGGCCGCGGCGGCTGCACGGGTGAGCACCAATCAGGAGGAAAGGCGGTCATGAGCGAATAAGGAGATGAGAGCTATCTTTTCAGACGCATGCCTCACTGGGGTGCGACCTTCTCCCCCCCCAATCGCCCTGCCCGCTCAACCAAGTCGCACCTCGCGGGGACCGCAGCATTAGCTCCCTGCACCGATCCGGCTGCCGCTGCTGCTGCTGTTGGCCAGGCTCCTGCTGTTGGCCAGGCTCCTGCTGTTGGCCAGGCTCCTGCTGTTGGCCAGGCTCCTGCTGTTGGCCAGGCTGCTGCTGTTGGCCAGGCTCCAGCTGTTGGCCAGGCTCCTGCTTTAGGCCAGGCTCCTGCTTTAGGCCAGGCTCCTGCTTTAGGCCAGGCTCCTGCTTTAGGCCAGGCTCCTGCTTTAGGCCAGGCTCCTGCTTTAGGCCAGGCTCCTGCTTTAGGCCAGGCGGCTGCTGTTGGCCAGGCTCCAGCTGTTGGCCAGGCTGCTGCTGTTGGCCAGGCTGCTGTGGCCATGGCAGGGGCCACACCGCACCTGAAAGGCACGCCTCTGAGTAACTCTTGGCGGCACGCAGCCTCGCCTCCGTGTTCTGGTTTCCAACCTGCAAGGTTTCCGGCCCCACAGGAGAAACAGCAGCCCCAGGGAGCTCTGTCAGCAGCCCTCCGCGGAAGGCGGAGCCAATTAGCGGGGGTTCTCGCGTCCATCGATAACAAACAACGCCCCGCCCATCCCGCACGTCCTCGTATCCGCCAACCCTTCTTGGCCCTGCATCTAATGTTCGAAACGACGCCTGCAATGCGCTACCATGCCGAACCATACAGCGGACAGGACCCCTCAAATGGCCCCTGTGCGCATCTCCGCATCCCTACCGCCTTCACATCTCCTCCCCCCTGCCCCTTCCTCCTCCTCTTCCCATCATCGGGCTGCCCTACCTTTCCGTTTCCCCACAGCCGGCACTGTGCCATGGCCAGGCAGCCGTCCACCACCAACGCGGTATTGCACCAGCGTATCTCGCAGTCCGTAAGGCGGGCCAGCGCCGCCGGACCGACCTCCACACCCACACTGTTGTTCTGGACGGCGCAGCGCACCATCCGCAGCTGACCCGCGTTCATTTCGACGCCCGCCAGGGACTGGCGCACGAGCGGGGGAAAAAAAGGCGCTGTTAGGAAAAGGGAAAACCTAAAAAGGGCCACTAAGGCGAACTGACGGATGGGTGACGTGTTGGGATGGAAGGGTAAACTTCGAAAGAAGGCATTGCCTTAGTGGGGAACAGCAGTGGGCGGGAGCGACGCAGGGAGCAGGGAGAAGCATCCAACGAGGGAATAAATAACATTGGCTGGTTACACCCAGTCGTGCACAATCGTGTAGAATGAACTGGAATAGAAGAAAAGGGGGAAGGAGGAGAGCCTGGTGAGCTCGGTGATGGGAGGGCAGGGTGGCATGGCGGCGGCGCTGTTGGTGATGGCGCACGCACTCGTGGACTAATGCAAGCTTTTGGTGGAGGTCTCGGGAACGCCTCCACCCCCCCACCCCGTCAAAAACATACCTGTCCATCATGGCTTTGCTAAACCCAAGATTAGGCTATACACATGCATGCATATATGTATAAATGAATATAATATATGTATAAATATATATATGTATAAATATATATATATATGTATAAATATATATATGTATAAATACATATGTATATATATATTTATACATATATATGTATGTATGTACGTATGTACACGGGCAGGTTCCACTGGACGCTGGAGGTAGCAGAGGGTGCTGAACCCGAAAAAGTCACTGACTTCGCAAAAGTCGGCACTCACACACATGGGTGATGATGATGATGATGATGATGATGATGAGGGTGGTATCCCGAATGATAGCATCGGGGAAGGTGGTAGGAGGACTGCCAGCGGGCTATACATTTAAAAACAACCTAAAACAGAACTGCTGAAAAGTTGTTTAGCTTTTAGTGACTTTAGTACTTTTGGTTTGTTTTTAGATGCAATCGATTAAAATTCAATGCATCTAACTTCTTTTGTTTTACAAAAAACTAATAAAATACCATTGAAATTGAACCAGGGCAGTGAACCAGGGCAACACACACGGGTGTGAAGCTACACCGCACCCCCGTTACTGCACAGAGTCGTACACACACAGCACACCCACACGCATGCACGCGTCCGAGGTACCTGTGTGGTGCCGATGAGGATGCAGTCGTACAGTTCTAGCCGAGTCTGGCTGCCCTTGCTGTACGGCACTTGCAGCCCGGTGCGACCGCTGAAGGTGCAGTTATCGAACCTGGCCAGCGGTGCGTGCGGCCCGAAGCAGCAGATGCTGACCTCGTTGTGCGCCACCGAGGTGTGGAACTCAAACCCCACGAAGGAGCACCTGTGGCATGATGCGGAACAAGACGCGGGAGGGAGAGAACCGCCGAGCACAGAGAGCAGCACGCTGAGACATGCAGGATAGCAGGCGCGCAGAGGACACGTGTGCGCAGCGAAAATGTGCGTGCAGCGAAAACGCCCCGGAAAAGGTGATGGGGGGGAGCTGCACGTGATGGTGGTGCAAGTGATCACAGGTGGATGGATGCAGCCGCCTCCTTCAGCCACCCCATCACAACCACAGCTCCTCTCGTGTCCGTTTCCACTCAACCCGGTGCTGCCCAGCCTACTCAGTCGCCATCACACCAAAACCACAGCGTCAAATGCTGTCCCCAAACTTGCGCGGCTATGAGCTGGCTTTGTAATTGTCACATGCCACATCGCCTCACCGCCTAGTGCTCCCCCGTCTTGCCTTGCCTTGCCGTGTACGGATGTACACCACCGGCCTGCCCTCCTAGCAGCCACGCAACGTCCGATCTGCTGGAGGATTATTGCTCCCCCGAGGGGCTAACACTCCTCATCTTCCCCTCAACCTTTTCATCCTACCTGCTGTCCATCACGACCACCGGCGGTCTGAGCGACATCACTGTCACCGACGGCACCCGCGGCCGGCCACCAACACCGCCTCTATCGCCGCCACGGCCGGTTCCCCGTTGCCGCATCTGCTGGCGCTGCTGCTGCGTGCTGAATGCTTGGCCGGAAGCCTGCCCGGGCGCGGACCCAGGCCCGGGGCCTGCTTCTGGCGCTGCCGCTGTGGACTGGTTCACCAGAGCTGTTGATAGCCGGTCCCCTGTAGCAGGCCCGCCACTCTGCGGGTACTGCAGGTGAAGGGTGGGGTTGAGGGTGGCTCGCTTCTCGCACCAATGGTCCTCAGCCACAAGCCGAACTGGTTTGTCCACCAGAAGGGTTTCCTGCAAGAAGTAGTAGTAGTCGGAGGAGGAGGCGGCAAGTCATGCGCGGGGTTGGGATTACGGCCTGGGCTATCGAATATGGTTGGCGACCCACATCTGTGGACAGGTGGCGTTTTCCACCCAGGAAACCGACAGCTGATGCAACGCCGGGTGCAACTCCGATACCGCCATCCTTACCACCATAAATGTCCTCTCCCGCATCACCATCATCATCATCATTATCGTCGTCATCGTCATCATCATCATCATCATCGTCATCCCCGTACAACTCCAACCCAGGTTCTTTCGTTGCTGTCCTTAATTCCTCACCATACTGCTGATTCTACCCTACCTGGTACATCCCAGGAGGACAAATCAGGGTGTCGCCAGGGTTGCAAGCCTGAAGGGCCTCACTCAGGCTCTGACCCGGAGCCACGTGGCGGCGAAAGGGCGGCTCCTGCAGGATGTTGCGCCATCGCCGGCATACTGAGAGGGAGGGGGACAGCGGGCAAATGCAAGCGGCACATGGAGACGCAGTGGTCACTGCAAAGGAGATTGGCTTTACGGGAAATGGGGTTTCTTTCAAAGGCCACCTTAAGAATTATACAGGGTCGTGGCATTACACGCTCGCGCAGACTTCAGCACAACGCCCTATAGCGACAGCTTAAAGCGTTTGCGTGTTTGTGGTTTACCAAGGGCAGCGTGCTGTCTTGAGGGGAATTCCAGGTTCGCAAAAATGGCCACGATTGTTTCGGTCGGTAATGGGTCAAAGGCGCTCCGGCTTAAAGCGAGCCCCATTCCTCCAGCACCACCACCTCCAGGAAGCCCAGGCCAAGAACCACGTGCTTTTGCCTTCCTTTCTTACGCTTTCCAATTATGATGCCCTCGCACTCGCGTAGCTAGAGAAATGGCTTATAAGTAAAGCACCATGACATCTGCCATGCGAAATACGTATTGTATAAGGCCGCACCACAATTGGAAAGAAAGGACGGTAATAACATATTTGGAACCTGACCGAAACCCGGAACCTGCTTCACGACAGCCAGCCACCCATCGTGTGCTGATAGGTGCTGCAGCAACGCTTGCCGGTACTATGTAATGTGCATAACGAAGAAAGACTTTGTATAGACTTCACCAGTGTGTTGCACCGGGAATGGCGTAGGAAGCAGGGCTGCGTTGCATGTTGCCTAGAGCCCTCACCCAACAATATATACATGGACTATGGCGGTCACAGTACCTTCGCGCAATCATGCAGCGTATAACCATAGCCGTTTACTGGAACGTCGGTTTGCTGGCGCTCTTTGGCTCTTGTCCTTGTCCCCGAGCTGCAGTCTCTTTCCTATCCTTTACGTACGATCCTTGTTCACAACATGGAAAGAAGCCAGCAGCAAGTCTTGACTTGGCAGAGTGGGCCGTCAGTTAAGCATGACTGCTTTATTGTGTGTATGTGTTTGTGCGTGCATGTGTCTGTAATCCAATTTTATATCCTTGACATCCTTCACCAACTCTAAACGTATGCGGGTTCCCTTTTCCCCATCCACTCATTCGGTCATGGCACGGGTTGTGGGTCGTGTTGCCCTCAGGGGCCCGTGGGCATCAAGAACATATCAATAACTCGAGGAAGGCAAGCAGGAGGCTGCGGAGTTGTTTTGTTTCGTCTGTATGCCTCGATTCAACACGTCTTGACGGTGTGAAGGCCCCTGCAACCGCCAGTGCACTGGTGTGTAAAGACTTCTTCATATGATGATTCGAGATTGGGTGGTGTTATCACCCAATAACCCCAATGGGGTCTACCATGTCCGCCCCGGGGGGAGTGTTTGTGGGTGTTCGGGTCCCAGGAGGACATTCAGCTGCGTGTCCGTGTGTTCGGATGTGAAGGACTTGGGTCCGCATGGGGTGTTGGAGCGCCAGTGGGCAACAATGGGTAGTATACGATGAGCGAGCTCTGGAGAACGGTTGATGACATTGGGCAACATTTCGCAACAAGTCGTGCTGCCTGCAGGGATCGACCACAGAGGTCGCTTCACAAGTACTGTAATAAAATGAAAGGACGAAAAGGGGACTTATGCGTTGCCCCTCGTGGGAGAGGGGGGCCAACTTCGTGCACGTACGTTGACGTATGCTGACACAACACATATCCACGTGCATACATGTCTGTTTCGTTTTTTTTCCTATTAGGCGCGCACGGCGCCTGTTTCGACGGCTCCCAGGGATCAAAAAAAGCAAAACGTCACTTGCATGGCCCCCAGCGATCAAGTTGCGTCGAATCCAGAGAAACATGGGCCGCAGACTTGTCTTTAAAACTTGCGGCGTGCCGCTAGGCGTGAGACAGAGGGCGGCGCGGGCGGCACCCAACGTGGATGCCATATCGGCGATATCAATACATATGTCATTACCAACCGGGAAAAAACCGTACGTCTGGAAATTATTACATCATATTTTATACCATACGTTCGTACCGTTGCAAGCCATGCCATCACCATGCGTTATTAGCCCTAAATAATGTTACAATACACCGAAAAGGCCATCATCACGGATCGCGGTCAACAAGTTGGATAATGTTAAGCCCTGCAGAAATCAGTTTTGAGGTCAAAGAATCGATACACACATACACCGCACGATTGTTGGCGAACAGACGGAGCCCCCCCCCCCCAACCACAAGGGCCGCCCAAGCCAGCCTGGCCAAACGAGCCGTTGGTTAGCGGGATAAATACATCCAAAAACACACCGCAACCAAAGTGGCAAGAGCTCGATTAAGGTGCCCTGGGGGAGTGAAAGCCTAAAACAAGGAGCGTCCCTGGTCCACCTGCACCTGCAGCAGCAGCAGCAGCAGCAGCAGCAGCGACGTCGCCATGTGTGATCCATGTGACAAAAAAAGGAGGTTGAGGGGGGACATGCTTTCAAGGAGTATCGAACCACAACCGCAACCGCAGCAAAATAGCGACCCCGGACAGCTCCCATGCCTCATGCAAGTCCCCATGTCCTCATGCATGTTACTTCATTCGCCTCACAGGGCCCTTTCTCTTTTCCTTAAAAAACCAGTCGCCGCTCCCCCGCTCCCATGCCTCGGTATGTGCCAAAGGCAATGGAGAATGGAGAGACCAATTTCACTGCCCGGGCCCCCATAGAGACATAGAGACAACCATTAAGAAGGAAAACATAAAGTAATAAAACCAGCGTTACATCTGCATCACATACTCTTACACACGACGACTTTAACTGGCCTGGCGCCTTTCGCTGCGACTGCGCCCGCGGCTGCAAAGGCCGGGACGCAGACAGACCAGACCAGACGCGACCGCCACCGTCATCGCCACCACAACAACGTGTACCATTGGAGGTAGTGCTACAGCAACGCCCAATCGCGCCCCTCCAACAATCACACCTACGCAGATTATGGAAAACAGGAGCAGCAACATGAGCGGCAGCGGCTACGGCAGATACACACCGCCTCAGGGCCCCAGAGCTAAGTCCCCTTCCGTCCACGCACCCACGCACGCATTCACAGCGCCACAACAGCTGTACAACGCCCCCATACACAAGGCACAACACGCAAGGCACAATCATACATACATACATACATACATACATACATACATACATACATACATACATACATACATACATACATACATACATGATTGCGTTCCCGACCAGGTGTGCCTTATCAGCTTGAGAAGAACAACGGGACCCGGGAAACGCCCGCGAAGAAAACCGTCCCCCATGAACATGAAGGCTCTTTCTTGAGCGTCATGCATATTCGTGGGATTGAAGTCCTGAAGTTAGGACAGAACAGGATGAGGCGCATACATACACGCACACAGCCATTGCGGCGCTGTTCTCACCACGTCAGGACCCCCCCTCGCGCTCTCACCTCCACAGCCCGCTTTCATCGCCTCCTCAACGGCCACGCCAGCACGGGCCCCCTTTGCCTCTCACACCGCCGGCACTCTCAGGCACCTCGGCAGCGACCACGGCAGCGACCACACCCTTTCCCCGGGTCGAAACACACACACACACATACACACACATGCGCATCCCCTTGACCATTCCCCTGTGCGTGTGTGCCTGTCTGTCTGTCTGCCCACCACACAGCCAGATCGTCTGTCCGTATGTTTATCCGTCCGACTACCTATCTGTCTATTCTTACTACCCATCTGCCACAAGCTGCGGGCTTCCCTTTCCTCCCCTCCCCCTCACGCCTCCCCCCCCCGCCCCCCCCCCACACACACCTACACCCGCTTTCGCAGCCACTCAAGCATCCGGCCCAGGAGCATCGGCGTCTCCGGGTCGTGATGCAGGTCGTGGTACGCCCCCTCCACCACGTGCATGGTCAAGTCGACGGGTTTCACCCGGGCCAAGAAGGCGTGCATGGAGGGCAAACTGCAGGACATGTCCACCGTCGCGTGCTGTACGTACAGCGGTACGGCAGTTAGACGGCGGGCGGTACGGCGTAGACGGGCACAGCCGGCCAGCAGGCTGGCAATCGTGGCCACCTGTCCGGGGGGTGTATGGTTACGAACAGACATTTACAGGTAGACAGACGGACAGACACACAGACAGACGAGAGACACACGCTCAGCTGCACGTTTGGGTATTTTTGGTGTTCCGGTGTGTGCGTGCGTGTCCGTGCGTGTGTGTGCGTGTGTGTGCGTGTGTGTGTGTGTTGGGGGGAAGCGGAAGGAAGTGGGCGAGGAGGTGATGGATAAGGAGCGGGGGGGGAGAAAACAATCCCAGATGCATCAACCGGTGCTGGATGTTGAGAGGGAATGATTTTGACGAGCGGGACGATGGCGGATAGGCACTACTTCTCCTCCTCCTCCTCCTCCTCCTCCTTCACTTCATGTTAAGAGCTGTCAGTGAGAGCTGCTGCTGCTGCTGCCCAGCGGACAGAGGACAGGCGGGACTTCATTGCTGGCTGCTACACCCGGTGCACTCACCCGGTATTAAACATCCTACATCATATCAAGAGCTGTAGCTCCTGCTGCTGCTGATATAATGGAGCTACATCCGCATTCACATTCACACCCGCGTCCCCCTGTTCTACTACGGTTTTGCATACACGGACCGATGACACACTTGCAGTCGTTGCGCTATCCTGTCAAGCTCCACCACGGCCCACCACCACGAACCCAAGAGCACTCCCGTACGGGTGCCGTACCTTGAAACGTCCCCTGTACCACAACGTGTCCTCCGCCATGGCAGCCACGGCCGCCGGGTCGCGTATACCCGACTCCACGGGGTTGCGCTTGAACATGGGCACAGCTGGTGCCAACCAGGACAGTGCCGTGACGTAAGCCACCTTCACCATGCGCAGTACGGGATGGTTGCCGTACAATGGATCCGTCAGGCAGGACGTCAACATGAGCCCCTCGAATAAGCTGCTGCCGGTAGCTGCTGCTGCTACTGCTATTGCTGTTGTTGTTGACGCTGTTGCTGCGTGTGTTGGACATGTTTCAGCCACGGCGAGGGTGGTGGCGAGGCCGCCCATCGAATAACCCAGGACGAAGGCCCGCAGCTTCCGCCTCCGCCGCCGCCGCTGCTGCTGCTGCTGCTGCCCAAATTGCCGTACATTTCCATCGTCCCCGTTGCCTTGGCGAGCGGGTGGTGCGGGTCCCGCCGGTGATGCTTCCCCTTCCCCTTCCGCTTCCCCTTCCGCTTCCACGCCCAAGTCCGTGTCCGCATCCTCCGCCTCCGCCACGAAGATCCGCGTGAAGTCCAGCAAGTCGTCGATGATGTGGCGGTACGAGCGAATGAGCGCGCGGCCCACGGGGTCATGGGGGCCGCTGCGGCCGTGGCCGTGCGCATCGTACGTGTAGACGGGCATGCCTAGAGACGCGCAGAGGTGCGCCAGGACTGTTTGGGTGGGCGCATGCGGGTAGGCGGGGGCGGGAGAGGGGGGAGGTTGCGTAGAGGAGCAGGTCGTGAGTTCAGGGAAGCATCGAACGCAGGCGAGAAGGCTTGTGAGGGGGAGCGCTTCACAGGGGGGTAATGTGCACGTACACACATGTACACATACACATACATACACACGCGCGCGCGCGGGCACTGAGTATACCGTTCCGTCCCTCCTCCCTCATCCCCTCATCCGAAGTCCTTTCCTGTGGTGCGCCCCGGCGGCCCCCCGCACCGCTCACCCCCCCCCTCCCGCCTCATACGATGTCTTCCTCGGGCCCCTTTCGAAACCCTCCTAAGTACCTTCCCCGTGCCGCTCGGAGTGGTCAGCCAGTCCGTGGTGGAAGACAAGACAGGCGTCTGTGCGCCGTAGAGAGGGCTGGTAGGTGGTGGTGAACAAATCATAGCCCCTGCGGCACGGCAGGTGGAGGAATGTGGGGGCAGGTGTCGCGACGGGCAACTGTGCTGCGGAGGGAATTTAGGGGCCCTGCGCCACGCGTGGGGCGTTCTGTTGCCGGAGCCCAAGTGGATTAGGAGACGGAAGGGACGACGAGGGAAGTGCTTTCGGAGAGCCTGCACTGCACATGGCCGTCGAGGTAGTCAGGCTCTTATTATGCAATTCGAGCTTTTCCAAAAGGGCAACGGAGAGGCGAGGGGGCGGTAGGGTGCCTGCCCAGCATTGAAGGCATTGTAGCTGAAATCCCTGTTATAAGAGTGTGTGTAACGCCGTGAGTTCGGAGTTCACCCAAATGGTGAGCACGATGCAAGGTAATCAGCATCCATGCCTGAGTGTTGCAAGTGCAGATTGCTGCAAAAGGAGAGGTTACGGAGCGGAAGGCATGGGGCCTGTTGCAAGGGTTTCGGTAAGTCGTGACGGTAAAATGCATGCCGGGAGCATGAAAGTCTGCAAAGTATTATGATAAGGTTTTCCGTAGAGGATAGCAATGGCTGCGGCAGGCCGGAGAGGCCATCGACAGCCGAGTCAGCAGCGTGGGCACAAGTTAGTTAGGATTCCGGCATCGCCAAGCGCCCGCTTGAGTAATAGGGAGAATGGGTTCGACTTTGCGGAACATGTTTTGCCGTAATTGTGGGAGCGTGGCTTACCTTCTACACCGGAAGGTTCCATGCGCGACGTTGACGGACCTCGAACCTGCACCGTGCACCTCAGCTCTTACGTCCACGACGCTTTTCTGGTCAGTTCCAGCAGCCATAATTTGACGATATCACTCTGGTGCAGGATCTGATTTGGACTTTTACACTTCAGTGCTGGTGCAAACAGCCTGCTGCCAGCAAGCGACCTTCAAGACTACGACGACACGCACATAAAACGTGAATAACTTATCCTCTGACAGCATATATTGCAATCAAAACCTTCAGGCTAGACCGCTGCAAAATAATGAACGCTCGCATCTGTAGTAACCATCCGTACAATCCGGGCGATGTCACTCTCTCGGACAACACCAGCCTTTCATCAGCGGCTTCCGAAAGGCAGCGTCGAGAAGATACTTATTCTTTCATAAAACCCCACATCAACTCATTTTGATCCAAGTTGTCAAACAGCGCCCGCAGGGCTCCTGGACCCAGCAACGGACCAACCCCCGCGCCCAAAAGCTGCCTGGACATCTGCCCCTTCACAGCAAGGCCCTCGAGCCGCTTATCCCCATCTTCCCATCCGGCATCCATCCTCTCTCGCGAGCCGCCCAACGCACAGACTAGCAGCCGCAGCGCTGGCCGAGTAGAGCCACGGATCAGCACCAGCTCCCTAAGCGCCTGTTCATGCAGCGGAACAAAAAGCAAAAAAAAGCGCGCAAAGCCGTACAAATTGGATCAGATTCTCAACGCAACGCCTCCCTTCCATGCCAAAGTGCCCGCACCGGATGAATAACGACCAGAACACATTTCGCATTCGCAATATCACGGCATTAGATGCTCAGTTGTATCGCGCGAAATAAAGAAGGAAAGTTATTCGCTGAAGCAAAAGCGGACCTTGCGGACGAGGCTGCTTGCAACTCTGCTGCTACTGCTGCCGCTTCTGTTGCTTCTGGTAACTTTTATTCCAGGCATGCGGGGTCTCTCAGCTCTTCGCCCGAATGACAAAAATCCAAATTGCGCAGAATTGCGTAGAGCCGCAACGGAGCTGTCCAACTTTTCTTTATTGTTTGAATTGTTTCCCCCACGCGCTATGTATACGTACATACATGTGCTACTTCCTGTGTATCAATCCCACCCTATTCATGCCCTTCCCTAATAACCTTAAACCTTTTCTTCAGGGATAGGTTCCTCAGCGGCCACTCCGAGCCAGCCCATCTCAGTCCAGTGGCATTATAATGGCCCACCACGCCCGATAGCCCTCGAACCACCGAACCCCTGCTGCTGTACTTACGCACCTGTCGCCGTACAGCAAAACCCACGTCGCCACCCGCTGCCGCCGTCCCCTTCAACGGTCGCCGGCCCTCCTCCTCCTCTTGCTGCTGCTGCTGCTGCTGCTTCTGTTTCTGTTCCTCGCAATTGGGAAACGGAAAGCACCTGCTGTGACCTACTTTGGTGGCCGGAGCCTCTCCCTCTCCCTCCCCCTCCTCAACAGCTGCAGCCGCGTCACTCAAGGCTCGACATAAGGCCCAGGGGCGAATTGCGTGGCCCAGGTTCACTGCCACGTGGACCAGCTGGACGGTAGCGGGCGCCGGTGGTGATGGTGGTGGTGGTGGTGGTGGTGGTGATGATGATGGTGATGGTGATGGTGGTGATGGTGGTGGCGGAGAGGAGGAGTGGGGGGAAGGACAAAAGGAGGGATCAGGACGTGGGCCGTGTCTAGCGAGGTTACTACTCAGACAAACAATCTCATAATGGAAATCAGCAATCAGTACAGAGCTCCTCAGCGTGCGCTTGGATTTCACCATGGGCCCCATTCGGTGCCCGTAGCGCAACTTATATGCCTGTGGGCAGCACCGCCGGGTGGGGGTGGTGGTGGTGGTGGAGGAGCGCGTTATCTCGAGGACATCATCACCCACCATTCACTGCCCCCCCACATGGGCCCGGTGGGGAAGAGGACGGCAGCTGCCCCCGGGGTGCCAAAAAGCGTGCGAGGCGGTGGCGGCGCCGCAGGAACCCCTTCCTCCCCCCGGCGCACCCACCAGCTTCACGACGAGGGACGGGTAGACCGGGTCGCCATCGCGGAGCAGCGCCACCGCCGCCGCCACCTCCGCCTCCGCCGCCGCCGCCGCATCGTCCTCCTGTGCCGCCGCCGCCGCCGCCGCCGCCACTGGCTGCCATGTCGGCACACACCCCGACACGCATTGGGCCCGCTGGATGCGAGAACGTACGGCAGCAGCGACGGCGGCGGCGATGCCGCGGACCTCCCCTGACGCCGACGCCATGATGGCGTCGCAGACCAGCTGTGTGCGTGGATGAGGGTGGAGCGGGATGCATCACACCACACCCACACCACACCACACCCACACCCACACCACACCACAGCGCGGTCGGGCGGTCGGGCGGGCGGCAATGGGAGTTTAGGGGTGTTACGGGTCTTACGGTTTGGTTTTAGGGTTTAGGGCTAGTTTTAAGACTGTAGGTCATTTTAGGGGTTTAGGGAAGATTTTAACGGTTTTAGGGGTTTGGGGTTTTACTTTAAGCACTTTAGGGTTTTAGGGATTTAGCAGGAAGAGCAGCACGATCACAGAAAACATCCGCTGGGTCTTAGTCCGGGCTCTAACTGAGTCCCCGGTCTTGAGGACGAGGACGCGAGGGGGCGTCAGCTGTTCCGCGTGCAGACCCTCCGTCGTAAGGCCCTCATCAAGGCGCCCGCAAGGACACACCCGCAATGGGCCCGGGCAGCCCCAACAAGCCTGAATACGGCGCAGAGTGCCAACAATCAGCAAAAACACACCCACACACGCAGAGCCCCAGTAACAGTCCTGAACCTCAACAAACAACCAATCAATCAACCAACCTACCGACCAACCAACCTGCCGCCCCCCCCACTTACCCGGCGCAGCGCCAGCAGCTGCGGCAGACTGAGGAATCCCAGTGGCGGCGGCGGCGGCGGCGGCGGCGCTTCTTCCGCTGCCGCCCCTGCCGTACCTGCCGCTACCGCCAGCAGCCTCGCCGCCACCTCACAGAGGTGCGCTTGCAGCGGGTGCCGGGGGTGGGCTGCGTGTCTGAGCGCCAGCGGGTGGTCCAGGGAGGTGACCAGGAGGCGGTTGGAGAGCCCGGACCCGGAGGCTTCCCCCCCCGGGGCGGGGGGGATGAGCAGGGCGGCCAACAGCGCGGCCAGCTGACACAGCGGCGGCATGAGACTGTGACGGCGGAGTGGTGGGGTGGGTGGGTGGCAGGCGTGTAAGTGCGTATGTATGTTGTTACAGGGTGGTTAACTTCGCCAGCGGCCCCCTTTCCCGGGGCAGTCCCTGCTCTCCCCTGCTAGAGGGGCACCCTAATCCGTCACCCCATCCGACTTCAGAATGTATTCGTTGGGTTCGGCAACTCACCACCAGCATTCAACCAAATCTAGCGGATCAACGGCGCATCAACTTAGTTCCTGGTCAGCTCGCAAGTTGATATTATCACGTCCTACACCGTCCATAAGATGGGGGGCCACCTCCCATTTCATCACTCCTCAATCACCCGAGGAGCTGGCAGGCGGATTTGAACCCGGGTCGACTGGATCGACTGGGAGCAGAAGTCAGGCCTTAACTTCTGCCAGCCGCCTGCGTATGTATGTCTGCGCGTGCGTATGTATGTATGTATGTATGTATGTATGAATGTGTGTCTCACTAGTGGGCAAACCCCTGGAAAGGCGAGCTGGGGGGCACATCTGCATGTTTGGATGGGTGTGGGTGTGGGGGTGTGAGGCGGCAGCGGCAGCGGTAGCAGTTATGATATGTACAGCACGCAAAGCTCGCACGGGCGCGTAAGGCCCAGGCAAGCCAGAGAAGCCGCGAAGCTAAGCGAGAGAGACAGAAAAGGTTAACAGTAGCAGTAGCAGTAGCAGTGCTGCCTGTTGGAGACGTACGGTGCCTCTTACGTCATGTATTTAGCTGAAGGGAATGTGAATGCCTGTACGGAGTCAGTGTAAGTTGTTCTGATGTACGTGAAACTGTACAGGTTACACGGAAGGCTTAATCATACTTTAGAGGCCGGAAATCCAGGTTCACGAGGGAGGTTACCACGATACGAGGCTACCCGCCAAAAAGCACCGACCCACCGACCCACCGACCCACCGACCCACCGGGCCGCCCGCGTTGCCGAGAGCAAGTACCAGACGGTGTGTACGGCGAGACAGACACGTGGGGCAGCGCTATGCGCTGCAGGGTCTGTGCTACCGCCGCCGCCGCCGCTGCCGCCACCGCTGTCGTGCGTTGCCAACACAGTGCGCAGCCAGGCGCGCAGGGAGGCCTGGCCCGCGCTGGGAGTGGCGGCGGCAGCTGCAGCGGTGATGGAACCATCGCTGTTGCCGCCGCCGCCGCCGCCGGCATCACCGCGTTTGCTGTCGTGGACGGACTGTTGCGCCGCCGTCACCTCAGCGGTTGCCGTTGGCAATCCTCTGAGCTCCAGCATTACCGCCACCAGCTCCGTCAGCTGCTCCGCCGTCAAGTCCATGGCCGGCAGGTCGAGTCGCAGTAACAGCAGATGCAACGGCAGCGGCGACGTAGCCTGACCCGGCTCCATCAGTTGGCTGCTACGCCGCCGTACCGCCGCCGCCGCCGCACCGCTTGTGAATGCTCCACCGGAGCCGTCCGTGGTCCCGCCAGTACGGACTAACGCCGGCTGCTGCTGCTGCTGCTGCTGATCCTGCGTCGTGTCAGGCCGTGAATGCGCGAACATGTGCTCCGGTGGCCGGGTTGGCGGTGCCGTCGGTGCGGCAGTAGCGGCCTGCGGGCCCCTCCCTGCGCCAGCCTGCACGGCGCTGCCCCGGCGCACGGACTTCTCAAAGCGGGGGGTGTCCAGAGCGTCGACAATGCCGGCGCCATCCCCGCCGGCGCCGCCAATGCCAGCTGAGGAACGATAACTTCCTCCTGGACCTACAAATCCTCCTATAGTCCTTGTGCCGTACATGCCGCTCCCGGCGGCGGTCCCGCTGGTCGCCCCGGACCTGACGCCCGACACGGCGGCGCCGGTGCCGGTGCCGGTGCCGGTGCCGGCAGCGGCAGCGGCGGAGGCAGCAGCTGAAAAGCAGGCAGCGGCGTGGTGCGGCGGCGCTCTGTCCGCTATATCTGGGGTGCCCGCGGTGACTCGGACCAACGCCGGCGCGTGACGCCCGCCGCCACCCCCGCTATCCCCGCCGCCGCCGCCGCCGCTGCCGCTGCTGCGGAAGCTATCCAGGCTGACCCGTGGGTCTGTGGCTGTGCTAGGTACCCGCTTGTTTGGCGGCACGGCTGTCGGTCCCGTCCCTGCTGCTTCCATTCCTTTCCTCGCGCCGTCGCCGCAACCCACAGCGCCTTGCGGGCTACAGCCAGTTTCGGAGCAATTAGAGGTGTCGCCGTACATTCTCTGCCGCGGCTCACTCGCGTGCTGCGGTCCCCAACCCTGAAGCGTGGTGCTCCCGGTCGTATATCTCGCAGCGCCACGAGCCGCCGCCGCCGCCGCCGCCGCCGCCCCCGCTACTGCCGCCGCCGCCGCTGTAGCTTCCTGCCCGGTGTCCGCTGGGTGCCGGAGCGAGCCCAGCTGAGGCGAAGTGGTAAACTCCCCGGGTGCTGGGGCCTTTGCCGCCGCCGCCTCACCTGCGACTGCCCCTGCTACTGCCCCCAACTTCTCCGAGTCACCCGTCCCGTGAACTCGAGGTAGGCTCGGAGATCCATCCAGATCATCCCGCGACATGCGGTTCCGTAGCGGCCGTACGGCGGCGGCAGCGGCGGCGGCGCCACTTGCGATCGGATGGAGGATGCACGGGGGGGACGGTGTCTCCGCCATGACGCCATCTGGGCAAAGGACGCTGCCACGTTTGCCGCCGTACATATACGACACTAGATCCTGTGAATAGGGTTGCGCTGGCGCTGCGCCGTGGTCGTGGCCGCGTTTATCGTACCTGCGCCCGCCGTCGCCGGCGTCGGCAAGAGAACTGCGAGAACTCCGCCAGGACCTGGCCGACAGAACGCCATCAGCGGCGCCGTGGTGGTGGTTGCAGTGCTGGTCATGCAGTTCGTGGCTGCGGGCTTGCCTCTGCTGTGACTGTGGCTGTGACTGTGGCTGTGACGGCGGCGGCGGCAGTTCAACTCCAGGGGCTGGTACCTGGAGAGACGACAACGGCAGCACCGGAAGGCCGGACTGCTCGGGGGCCGAGACTGGCGGCGCTGACTGGGCAACTGACGTCCCGCGATGTGGGTACGGCGGCGGCACCTCCAACGGCGGCGGCGACCGGTAGTACGGCTCCTGCGGCTGCTGATATCGCCGTTGTGGTGATTGCGGCGGCAGCTGCGAAGGCGACGCCGGCGCTGCTGGCGCGCGCGGCCCATATGACTGCGCTAGCGGCGGCGGCGGCGGCGGCGGCGGCGGATGCGCGGCGACCTGGTTGGTAGTCTCGCGGCTCCGTCCCGCCGCCAGCACCCTGGCCAGCAGCAGCTCCGGACAGGATTCATCCACCGGAAGCATCACCCGCGCGCTGTCTGTCCGGATGTCCACTGCCACAGCTCCTGCCTCAGCTGCTACGTCGCCGCTGACGCCCGGAGACGTTTGATGTTGTCGTCTTCGGCGCTGTCGCTGCACTTGCGGACTTAGCTGTCCCACTGGGGCTTGACTGAGTGGCCCGCCTGGGTCGTCATCTTCCCGGAGGTGGGGCTCGTGGCAGATGAAGGGCGCGGCGCCGCCGTTCCCGTCGGGCAGCGGCGCAGCGCTAGGGCCACCTGGAGGAGGCGCATCGCGTACGACAGGTTTGTGATCCCGCCAATATCCCCCCGGCTGTGGTTGCTGACGGTCCTGTTGTCGGCGCTGAGGTTGCGTTTGTTGTTGCTGCTGCTGTGGCGGTGGCGGTTGCGGTCGCGTCGTCTGTTGCACGCTGCTTGTGGTCCGCGTGGAAACGTAATCCGCCAGGCCAAGCTGCCCCTGAAGCTCGTACGGCTGATGCAGCTGTCGGTGCAGATCACCCGGCGGCTCTCCCCCCGGCTGAGGAGATGGGTCCGGGTGTTGCTGCCGCTGCCAGAGCTCCGCAGCCGTCGCCGCCGCCGCAGCAGCAGTGGCAGCAGCAGCGGCAGCGGCAGCCGTCGCAGCCACAGGTACGGCATCTTCGTCCGCCGCCGCGGCTTCCAAAAGGCCGCTGACGTTGGCGGGGCCGCTGCCGTCTGGGGACCCGGTCCAGACGCCACCGCCGTCACCCGTGCACCGCTGACCAGGAATTCGGCTGTAGCTCCGGTCGCGGCTTCCGCCAGTGCTATTGCCGCTGCCGCTGCTGCTGCCACTCCTGATGCTGCTACTGCTTGGGCTGCTGCCACCGTACCTTCCTGACACTGTGGCGAAGGTACGACTGCCGTACATGGCCTGGTAGTCTGCCATCCCCAGCTCCTCGCCGCCGCTTCCGCCGTATCCAGCGACTGCGTACAAGTCAGACCCGCTGTACGAACCACTGACGTGCACTGCGCCGTACCCGTACCTGCTAACGACATCAGGCCGGCGTGTTGTACCTTCGCCGTTTTCAATGTTGTCGTACATGCTGACGGTAGCATGTGTGCGGCCGCCATCCGCCAGTACGCTTTCACGGTACGGCTGGAGATCGTACGCGACGTGTCCATGTCCGTGTGCTGTGCCCGGGGCGTCTGCGGAGTGGAGCGGAGCAGGCCACCCGTCGTACGGAGTGGTTGAATGGCGAGGCTGGCGAGGAGCCGCGGCGGCGGCGGCACCACCGAAGGAGGCGGCGGCGGACTCCAGGGAGCCCTGCTCGCCGCTGACGCTGACGGCTGGCGGTTGCAGCCGCTCTGGCGGTGGTGGTGGCGGCGGCGGCGGCGGTGGAGACGCGGCGCGCTGTTGCCGTTGCATGTGCGCGCCCGACTTCCCGCCGCCGTCGAAGCTGTAACTGTACGGACCAGTACCAAGGTCGTCATGGTCACCGACGACGCCGACGCGGGCGGCTGTATGTTGCGAGCTGTAGTCGAGGAAAGCTGCGGTAGTGCTTCCACGCAGCGCATGCACGCTGCTGAAGCTGGCACGGGTGAGGAGCTCGACGTCCGGGCCTCGGGGTTCCGCGGCGGCCGTTAGGGGGTACGTCCTGAGGCCAGGATAATCTCCGGGTGCGGTGCAGTAATGCTGGAGGTGCTCCATGCGACGAGATGAGGGCCTGGGAGCCCAAGGCTTTGCGTGTAGGATTTGGCGTTAGCGGATTCGGAGTCGGTCTGAATAATGAAGTAAAAGCAGTGGCAAGCTTGCTAGCCCTGGAATTTGATATAGGGCATTTCAGTAATGAATATGGAGTACCTTACAGTCCACTTTGAGCAGATGCAAAGAAAGCGAGGACGACCCGTGGTTCAGTGCACGCATGCTGGGGATGATATACAAAGTGTTTGCTCTATTATGCACGTGAGTAGTAATCAAAATTACGCGATGGATCTGGCTTGTCGCCTATGGTAGGGACTAGGAGGCTAGGGTGCTGGACCTCGTCGGAATCCAAAGACGTTGGAAATTTCAGTTCTTGGTTGTCGACATTGTCAACCTAATTGGCAACTTCATTATTTCCAGTATATATGTTCAGAAATTAATTTAACATCTTGTCAAGAAAGTGCGCTGTTAAATTGACTTGGCGACGATGGGCGAGGGTGGCAAGCGGAAGTCTTTGCAAGAGGAGGCGCCTGCGGCTCCTTCATATCGCTTATTAACGTCAGACGAATTAGGCCTGCTAAAGGGTGCGTCGGCTTTGTCCAGGGAGTCGCGCCGACGGTTTGATTCAGCATCGTTACTTGTGTACCGCATCGATGTTACGCAGTCACCGATGTTCCGTCTGGAATCAAATGGGAGGAGACAGCAGCAAAGCAGCGCTGGTAAGTCAAAGCATATTCTGTAGCGACGGCGGCGCCGAACAACCGAAATTGTGGCGTTTCCCAGCAAAATAAGACTCTTTCTAGGACAACTTCCACACCCATAACTGCTTAATATTTCTGAGAATTATGCGGCGTTGTCGTTCGTGTCTGGGGCTTCCCGGTCCACCGCTGTCAAAGTGCCCCATGGACCAGACCTAAAGTTCACCTCTGTCGGCCTGCGCCAACCGCGTGCAACTAGGATCCCAGCGCCTGGTGGTTTCCATGGAATTAGCAACTAGTTGGATCTCTATCACATGAGTGTGTACGACGTGTGTGCACAAGTCGCGGCTCCCCCCCTGCCCCTCTGCTCCCCCCCGCTGCCCCACTATCCCGACAGGGGCCAGCCCGATAAGCAGCATGGCATCACCCGCCTGCAGGTGCACTGCCCCGACTGGAATCCAGGTGAGATCCAAAACTGGAATCTGGATCTGGTACCAAACCCAGGGCGCAATTGACAAAGCGGAAGGGCCCCCCCAGACAGGCCTACCTAGGGACTTACGAAGCAACACGCGCGTGTATGATGCACCGGGGGACATTGGGGGGGGCCCTGCCGCCTGGGGATTGGGGTGGGAGCTCGGGGGGGTGGGAGGTAACGGAGGGGGGGGGTGATGACAGGTTCATGCTCACCTTGGGGGTCTGCGGGCTGGGTAGATGGGTGGGTAGATCGGTGGTTGTGTCTAATCGTTAAAGTCCGCTCCCAGTCCCACCTCACCACCACCACCACCACCATTATCATCTTCCTCCTCCCAAAGGCAACCACGTGCCCCTTCTGCTGCTTTTTCCGTACCTTCCGTACCATCACTCTCGCTTAGCCCCGCCCTCCCCTGCGGGCTCTTCGTCCTCCCCCCTCCCTAAACCCCGTCACCCCCCTCTCCCCCCCTCCCCCCAAATGCCCCGTCCCTGCCCCGCAGATCTCATTACGGTGGCGGCTGCGCGCTGCGGCGGCCGGGTGACCCTCCACTGCCCCGCCACCACCTCCACCTCCACCACCTCCGCCACCACCTCGTCAGGTGCAGCCCGGGGCCCGGTGGAAGCAGTCGGCGCGGTGGAGGTGGGCTCCTTCCGCGCCGCCCCGCCCGCCACAACCTCCGGGCGTTCCGACACGTCCGTACACGAGCTCAGAGGTCTGAGGCTCATCACCACCACCGCCGCCGCCGGCCCCGCGGGAGGAGGAGGAGGGTGAGTAGCAGTAGCAGTAGCAGTGGCAGCAGCATGCGTTTGGGAAGACCCTTGCCCTCCGGGTCAGCAAGCGCTCCAGGGGCGGGCAGGTTGGGGGCGCGGGGATTTGTGTTTTCAGGCGTGTATGTATGTATGTACGTGTTTGGGGGGGGGAGAGAGAGAGCAAGAGGAGATGATTGGGGATATGGGTAGGGGTTGTGGGAAGCTGCGAGAGCCCACCCCGGGGGATGAGGTTGTTTCTGTGTGTGTGTATATATACGTGTGTGTGTGTGTGTGAGGGGGCGGGGAATGGGTCGGATCCTCCCTCTCTTTGCGCCCGCGGTGTGTGGTGCTGACAAGTCCACCAGTGCCGTACCGCCTGCTCTCCCCCCCACCGTCTGTCTGTCCGTCTGTCCACCCACCCAGCCCGCACCCTCCCTACCCCTCGCTGCGGCCGCTGCTTCGGACTGGTGCCCCCCCCCATTTCCCCTCTCTTTCTCTCCCCCCCCCTGCAGCTCGTCATCTTCCTCTTCCTCCCATGATGAGCTGCTGTTGCTGCTGCAGCGGCTCCGAGT